GTAACGTTCTCGCTATAACCATTTGCCAAGTCGTCAATTTCCCATCTGTAGTTTCCCATCTCCGGAGAAGAATACCATCTTCAAGCTTTAACTGGTCCCATTGTGCCCAATAGTACTAGACTACACTATATTTCTAGAAGGATCACGAGATTTAAGGAAAGGACGTGAATGTTCGAGAACGACGTGGCGTGATACTAGTCACGTGACCTCGATGTCGTAACAATATTATCAGAATCTTACAAATGAATGAATGTGTGTAAGAAAAGACTGAGTGAATCAGGTTTCTACTCATATCATGCGACTTTTCTCCATATATCAAGATATTTTACCACCCGTTTTTTGAAAGTGAATAGTATATTGCAAAACCTTGACGTTTCCGTCATTTTTTTTTCAAGGTCAGCAGTAAGTGACTAGGCCTAACCGTTTTACCACCCTTTCCTTACAATGTCAATGGTGAGTGGCGAAGCCTAACTTTTAGAATGTAACTTATAAATAAGAAAGGTTAATTAACAGGTATTAATCAGCGAAAGATGGTGATAAAAATGGTACTGACAATTTTTATGAAACAAAATGCCTGAAGCAAATTCCTTGATTAAAAATTTGATAAAATTTGAAATAATTCTTACCGGTTTTGTATCCTTAGATTCTCCGTACTGAGCTCTTATGCTGCAGGTTTTCTTTAGTTTTTCAAACTTGCAAATATGGCAGCTGCCGTCAAGTTTGAAAACCAACTTACTAATAACTTTAAATAAGTTTGTAGCTGTGTATTCTTAAGAAAAAGAATTTACAAATTTTATGGAGAAAAAAATGTTTTAAGTATTCTAAAAGTTTGTTTGTTTGAAGTTATGCACAAAGCTACACAATGGGCTATCTGTGCTCTGCCCACCACGGGTATCGAAATCCAGTTTTTGGCGTTTTAAGTCCTAATATAGCTTGGTGTTTGATTAGAATCTCAGCTTTCATCATTACACCTTTCCTTTAGTTAACTTTAGAATACTATTTTTATGACTATTTTACAATAGAGTAACATTTTACGA